ACTAGTCCTCATCGGAGTGAAGGACCTCAAGAGAAAATGGCACATGGGTAAAAGGACACTGAGAAAGGCAAACGAGAAAGAGGACTTTTATGTTAGCTTCACTGGGAATCTGTCACTCCAATTTGTGCATTTTTAAAGCATTTATAAGGCTTTCAAGTGATATGTGGAAAACTTACTTGCTATTGAGTAAACACTTGATGGAATTGAGCAACCTTAAGTATTAAGTGTGACCATATTCATGTCAAATAGAAAACACTGCTGGGATTTAAAACAAAAGGGCACCCTACACTTTGATGTTTGTGCGGTGCATGACTTTGGGCTGGGGATGTGCCATTCACATTACCCCCTATATGAATAGCATCTCCTAGAGTCTTAGAGGGTATGCTGTTCGGTTGTTATAGCTGTCCTTCATATTAATATTGGTGATATTTAAGGCAAACATATATGTTGAAGGAATGGACTGTGATTGTCCTGATTAATAACTAAAGATGAAGTAATCTCTCAAGTACAATCTGCATTGGTCAAGGGAAGGCTTATTCTATTCTCAAAAAAATGATAAAGTACGGGTTAACGAGGAAATATCTTCTCAAGAAGCTGTCCAGTAAGAACAGACTTCCTATTCCCCTCACTTTATAATCATGAGCAGTCAGGCTGATTCAGACATACAATCAGTACTTCTACATTTCTTTAACTTTCTCAGTTCCACACTACCTTTCAAAGGGAAATGTCTTAGTTTATTTCTGAAGACAATTATGTCTCATGTTTCTAAGAAATGTATGGAGGGATGACATAATTCAAATCGTTGGACAATTACAACTCCCTGGTTTCATTCAAGGAAAATAAGATAGTAAGTGTGAATATTATGTAGTCAAATAAAGGTGCTTCATGTGGGTAAAAGAGAACTATCAAGGAAAATAAGACTGTAAGTGTGAATTCAGAATTATGAAATAAACACTAACTCAAAGCAATTAAAAGAGCAAATTGTAAGAAATGATTTTAAAGGTGGAGAAACCAATAAATTTTATGGTCAACATTTCAATGTATCACTATATTACATGTGAATGTCTTATATAAAATGAACTTGAATGAAATTGTAACTCTTTATAATATGTAGTTTCATATTAAAATTACAGTAACATGAAATTATGAGTAACTTTCACCCCTTGGAATTACAAGTGTTTATATTTCTGATAGATTACATTCTGGTTTTAGCACATTTTGCCTATATGCAGCCATGCATCTATTTTGA